GACCTCACAGGGAGGAATGTTTTTCTGTATTCATGGCCTCTAACAAGCATAGCAATTGTTTACTGTACTCTGAGCAACCCAACAGTAGCTATAATGTAATAATTATAGAGAAACCTTCCTAAAAATATATTTCCAATGCATCAGCATAACTCCAGCTGGCACTGAACATGTAAGTTCAGCCCAGCTTGAGAATCAGATAATGCACAACATTTTGTGCAGCTGTGCAAGGACTCTGGAGTGGAGCTCTGGAGCTAATGCCTTGCAGTGATGGAGGGAAGGACAAGAAGCAGCCAGAAGAGCCACAGGTTCTTTCCTCTGTGGTCAATGACAACAGAAAACACCAGGATCATTTTCAAACTGGATAAACTGAGGATTTGGAAATCCTAACAACAGCCTTTTCTGATCTGGGTGCTGACTTGTTGGTCTCTGGTTTTAGAGGTTCAGTCTGAGTCCAGGCTGCACCAGCATTTTTCATGGAGATGATTCACTATTATTATTTTGTTTCATCCTCACACACTAGAATAGCATCTAGACTCCACAAGCTCCTTGGAGGATCCTTCCTTGTGCTCAGTATCAGTGAACTCCAGCTCATACTACTGTGCCTCAACTTCCTCACTTGCAAATAAGGCCAAGACAAAAACCCTTCAACCTAGGGGTGCGTTCAGGTTTGGAAAACAATTCTAGCACCTTTGAAAGAAGGTTTCCCTAGAAGCCCAGTCTGCAATTTATTGTTTCAATTAAAAAAGTGTGTATTTTACAATCCACAATCTGTTTACACCTCTTACAGCTATCTCTCTAAAAAGAGCTGGGCTCTGGTAGCTCACGGATTTGGCACAGCTTGTCGAACAAGCAGGCTCACCAACCTACCATGACACACAGCACTTCTGTGTAACTTTACAGGCTGTGTTTGACCTGTCTGAACTTGAACAGTCACCACTGATTGATTGGCTTCTAAAAATATCCACCTGCCATGGTTCAAAGTCTGGAGAGCTCTTGTTGATTTAGATGGAGACTTTCTTGCTGGTCAGAGGCTAAGACAGACATCTGACACCTGGGCTCTGCTCCTGCCTCCTGCCCTGGGAGGGAGCAGCAGAGACCCAGGCCTGCTCCACACACTGACAGCTCTCAGTTGTGGGGAGGAGGAAAGCAGTGCTACGCGTCCCTTCTCTTCCTGCATCCCCATTTCCAGGCTCCCCCTGCAGCTAGTGGTACTCAGTGGGATGATCTGCAGCCACCAGGAGCAGGAAGTGTCCCCACAGCAATGGGAGAGCTTCCAGAGGCAGCCACTGCCAGGAGAAAGCATGGCAGCACTCCTTGGAGAGAGATGCAGAACAGGCACTGCCACAGCAGCCACCAGGAGAAAAGCCAGGCTGCCACCTCCAGTGGAGGCAGTGCATGTCCTGTTGATCTGTAACCTGTCACTGCTGGCACTTTTGTCATAGCTCCTGGATCTATCATCAAGCCAGTTCTAAGAGAGAACTCCATCAGAGGACAAAAGCTACTTTGGGCTCTCTGGAAGACCACAGCTAGACAGTTGCCTATGGAATACCAGGCTGATAAAGGAAATTAATGGTTTTCTGGGAGCATGTGGTACTGGAGATGATCACTGCAGCCAGACCTCACTTTCACAGCTCCACATTCATTCCCTTTTGTGTAAAGGTTACAAAATGAGATCTGCCTCTGCTGCCCCAATCCAAGGTCTTGCAGAACCCATTGTTGCAAGACCCAGAGCCCTTCTTGTTTCCATCTTAAGTGTATTGCATGACAGTTTATAATCATTCTATCAGCCAAAGATTTCCTTTCTTTTATATAATGTCCTTCCTCTGCAGCAGTACAGAAAGAAATACTCTTACTCCAGTTCTCCTATGTTGAACAACCCACACTCCTTTGACTTTTTGGTTTTTTTCCCTTTTCCTTGCAAGCACCACTTATTGTCCCAGTCACCTTCTAAATTCCACTTTGAATTTATCCTTCCCAAAGATGGACAATGAGAACTGACCATGGCTTTTCAGATGAAACATTGTTCCTTGTACAGTGGCAGGAGTGGTTCCTCATCTTTTCTGGAAACAGCTTGCCTGATAAACCCTATGATCTCATTTGGCTTTTGTGTTCAGTTTTAAAAGGGGTATAAAGCAGGCTCTCCAGTATGTCACTTCATTTTATTTTAGTGTTTGTTATCTGAAAAGAAGAGGGTAGTTAAACTGCCTTTTTAATTAAATTCCTTTAAATCTTTGAAAACAATAAAGAAAGAAAGATAGCAAACAAAGTAAGACAGAAGAATTACCATGTGTATGACCAGAGGTATTATTTCCCGTAACACATTTATATATAAATCTCTTTTCCAAAAACTTGCAACATTTCTCAGTTGCTCAGTCTGTCTCCCGGGTAACTTGACACCTCACAAGAGGAGCCTTGTGCCTCCACTCTTTAGTGGGACACGAGTCTTAGGAATTCTGTTTAAATTCTCATCTAAACAAAGACTATTCCTAGTTTCTGGAAGGTAAGAAGAACTTGTGACACTGCATCCTTCTCCCTTTGCTTCCCTCCATCTTCAGAGCTAATGAAAAAGGCTCAGAGCAGCAGTGGTCCCTTTGGGCACACAGACTCTTTCTCTAGGTCTGGGAAAAGCTCCTAAGAATTTACATGAGCAAGGAGATAGTAAATAGGCTTAGATTTGCTGTAAAAGGGTTCAGATCTGTAGTGTCCAATGTTTAGAGCTCCATACATTAAAATAAACTTAAAAAACCATGGCTTAGCTGAATTAACAATGACAAAAGTCATCTGCTGTCAGCACAGCATCTACAGGATGAGATCTCATCACTCACACTGGGTGTGGCAGAAAGGGGGTCTGTCAGAAACTCTGACCCTGTCATTCAATCAAATCCCTGGTGCAATAGTTCTGACCACAATGAAGACATCTGAGTGCAGAGCTGCACCCTGCTCCATCCTGCTGCACCCTGCTCCACTCTGCTCCATCCTGCTGCATCCTGTGTTTCAGTGGGCTGGAACCATCAGTCCTAAGAGATCAGGGCAGCTGGAAGCACCAGTGTGACCAAGTTTCCCATCTGCCACTGCTCCAGCTGGCCACAAGTAGCACAGAGTGGATGTAGAACACTGTAGGTTAGACACATATGGCAGTCTAAAACCCCACAATATTAAGACTGGAATGTGTTTGCCATTTTCACTGGAACTGGGGAATTAGAAGGTGCAGGCGTGCAGGTTGCTCTGTTGGACAGTCTGAACTGCTGCAGCACCTCAGAGCTCTCTCCAGTGTCTCCAAAACCAGACCTTTGAGGCAGCTGGTGCTGCTTTTAATGTTCATTCAGCCCTTTTAAAGTACAGATTTCAGAAATGTTAGACTGCATACTGAGGGCTACTTCACTGTCTACCAAATGGCTCTCAAATATTGCTTGCTGCTTGACCTTTAGTAATAGCTACTTTAGGCAAGCTTTTTTACAGCTTTCCTGATTTCTTTTTTATTAATTACTCTTCTGTGGTTTGGTGGTGTTGGGGTTTTTAATTTGTTTTTGATTAGGTTTTTTATTGGGTTTTTTTTGTTTGTTTTTTGTTTGTTTGTTTTTTAAGAAGGAGTCAATGCTTTCTGTGTCTCCTTCCTCAGACACCACTGCTCTCCCAGGGACCTCTCAAAAACCAAGGCCAGAAACCAAGTTCAGTTATTGTACATTGAAGTTAATCTAAAATTGGTGACTTGTCAATTTTAGTAGTTTCAATTTCCCAACTGTTTGCTTGGGTTACACACACATAAAACTTCTAAATAATATGCCTTCTCTCTCTCCCCAAGTAGAAAATCACTGTGTTTCCCTGTCCTCCATAGAGTATGTGATCTTTAGCTGCTCTCCCTTGCTTATCAAGGAATTCATTCAGCTCCTCAGCAGCTCCAGCCACTGACTCTCCAGTCACATCCCTCTAAAGACCACACCAGCTCCCTGATCAGTTTAGAGAGATTTATGTTTGTGTGCCCCTTTATATCCTTCCTCCTCAGGCTTTGATTTACCATTGTGGCTTCCTTATCACTCTATAGCACTTCCTACATGTTTGTCTTTATAGCTCCCCATTTTCCCTCTTTGAAATCACCCCCAAGTTGTGTTTCCTTAATGGAAGTGGGAAAAATTCACCCATCAGAGAGGTTTTTGCAAGGAGCTGTGCAAACCCGAGCTCCCGAGGAATGCAAATGGCATTTTGCTCCTCACTCTGGCCCTAAGAACAGGAAAAATTTTAAACCTATATCAAACTTCCTTGTGCAGTTCTCAGACCCTTGCCTGCTTTTACATTTCCTGTGCATTCTCTGAAGAAAAGCTTTGTGCTCTCCACAAGGCATGAGGAAATATGACCTTTTCCACTTGTTTTCTCAGTGTCCCCTCTCAAAGAGCCACTCCAGCCCAGCACTGCTTTCTCTAGAACAGACAGTTCCACAGCTGCAAATTTCTTCTCTTCATTTTTCCCCCCCTCCTGGGTTTTGTGATCTATTCATTACACAGTTTGTGTTAGCCCATTAAAAAAAAACATGACTAATGGGAAAATGCAAGGTTGTGCTGGAAAGGAAAGTGGCTGGGGTGAGCACCATCCTAAGGATCCTCATCAGGGCCCCTTGGGGACCCAGGTGAACTGATCTGGACAAGAATGATGGATCAAAGGGTGCCACAGCCCCCTCAGTGCTCAGCTGCTCCTTGGCTGGACCCAAGGTTCGAGTTCCTGATCTTTTAACTCAGCCTTTGAAGTTACTTTCACATTCATTCTCTTGCTCCTAAATATTCTCTGCAAGGATTAAAGCTGGTTGTAAAATATCTCACAAATGTTTACGATCACCATTACACCTGTTCCTAGAAGAATTTCACAGTCAATTGAGTCACGTTATTATTTTCATATTGGCCTTTCCTTACCCTGGTATCCAGATTTCCCAATCACATGAACCAAGAGAGAGCCCTGGCAGGTTATGAATTCAGAGCATTCTTTAAAGTGTTTTAAACTCAAATCCTCACCAAATGCAGACATGCAAGCAAGGCAGATAATGAGAGGTCTTCAACCAGCTGAACTGCAAAAAAAAAGAGGGAATGTTTCATGTAAACATTGTCTCTAAAGCACTGGGATGTGTATGGCCAAGAACTCAAGCCAGCTGCTATAATTTCTAGATCAATTTTACCCAAATAAAGGCATTCCTACTCTGCATCGCACAGCTTTGATCCTTTAAGGAGGAATTTCAGTTACCAGTGTGAGTTCATACTGATCTGGATACAACCAATACTCTAGCATGCAAGAGGCTGGGCAGAAAAGCAGGGGGAAAATCTAAGCCTTCTTTGGCATTTATTCAACCTGAATTTCACAACAGAAAAACAAAAGCTCAGCACTTCTGGGTGAAATTCCCCCATGACAGAATAAGGCTTGTCTTTCCAAGAGGAGTTAAGGCAGGCAAGTCAGGCCATTTGGAATTAGTATCTACAAAGTCTAGCTAGAAGCAGGAATGGGAAATACAGTCTTTGAGAGTCCCCCACTCCCATCAAAATCACCTGGAAACCCCAGGTACCGTAAGGAGAAGAGAATCTCCATTTGTAGAATATTCCTGGCCAGAGTTCAGTTTTCACTGTGATCACTCACTGCCAATCAACTCTCAGCCCCTTTTCTCCTGTAACCTATCTCAGCTGTTAGCACCAAGCAGCAATAAAACCATCTCCATCTTCACTCACAAATCACATGGCAATGCCTTCATGCAAAGGGAAAAGTTTCACATCATACACATCAGATTTCACGTGGGAACATCTTTCAGACTTCCAGCATAGAATATTTTTTCCAATAAGAAAAATCAAGTCCTACAGTAAAGGCTGATCTGAAACTTATATTAACAAAGGTCACTCCCCATCTTTGAATGTCCGTGAAATTGTCACAGAGATACCACAGCTATGCCCTCCTCTAGTTTTAAGGAAAATCTTATCTCATCCACTGAGATACGGTAACTTCCAGCGCAATGTTCAATAGTTATAACTCTGTCCTGAAAGTCTAATTGCACAGCACAGCAGAAATAGATGCAACGTGAGGACTTACAAAAATGTACTGCAACGTCAAACAGCTCTGCTAAAAAAACACAATGGCAGGCCTTGGTCCTGCAAAGCTCCACATGCAGTCATGCTGCTTTTCCACACATTTGGAATAGCCTTTCTAAAGTCCATGCAGCTATCCATAACTAAAAGACAAGGCCTTTTGCAGGACCAGGGCACTGCTTTACTTGTTCTACTGGTGGAAAATTACATCTGCTCACTCCTATATAACCTCTTTCAAACAGAATTGAATTACCTACAAGTTACTAAAATTAGACTAACAAATAAATTACTTTGCAGCCGAGCTGATAAAATGTGACTGTTTACATATGATTTAATCCCAGAACTAAGATTAAAGACTACTTCAAACAGAGCCTTTATCCAGTATGTCATATAAAACTCTGTTTGGTTTCAGCAGAGCTGAGAATGACTTTAACAACCTTGTTAATCACAGATTAAGAATGGAAAAGATCCTACTTGGCACCAGGTGTGCCATTAATAACAACTGGGATGCAGGGGAGCTGCAGGATGACCCAGCTCGAGCGCCAAGGAGGAGCTCCAGGGCTGGAGCTGTGCCATGCCTGGAGCACAGACGTGGCTGGGCACAGCAGCTCCAGAGCAGCCTGTGGGGACAGGAGCTCCTGAGACCTCTCTTCTCACATCAGCTCTGCCTGACGTTCTTTAAGCCTGTGGTGGAACCACTTGAAAAGTCAGCAACTATCCCTGGGAATCCAAAATTGCCTAAATCACTGGTTTCGAGCCCTAATGAAGTCCCCTCCCTTTTTGTTGGTTTTTGTCTTGGATGAAACAAGGCACGAGGCTGATGTTCTTCACCTTTCCCTTGGCAAGGGCACCATGGGCAAGTGTTTAAATACATGTTAAGGTCCTCGTTCATCTCTGGGAAAGCCCAGCACTGCAGAGGCAGAGGCTTTGTTGGCACAGCCAGTGGAGCTCCTGCTATCCTCCTCTCTGGAGCCCATAGGCACCTGGCACCAAGGCCAGGCTCAGGGCCAGGCACCTGGGCACTTCTTACAGCAGCTGCCACCTGCCAGCACCTCACTTGGCCATCCCTGCCCCTTCTGCCTCCCTCTCTCCAGGGGACTCCTTTGCAGTGCCCCACCGTACTGGTACAGCCACCCTACACCCTGCAGCTCTCCCTTCCAGGAGCTTCTTCCTGCTGGGTCGGGAAATCAGCCACTCTCAGGTTAAAGTGTGGTCCATGGCTGACTAACAGCCTGTCACAGATAGAGATAGTGATAGGAACAGAGGTGGAAATGGGCTGCAGTAGGAAGAAGGTCCAGGCCTACAGGACCCCGAGCCTCAAGTGAAGCCCTGCAAGGTCCTTTCTGCTCACCCAAGGCAGAATTCCAGCAGCACAAGCTCTCCCAACCCCACCAAACCACACAGGGAGAAGAGAAAATCTGTTCCACATTAAACATATCTAACAATCATTTTTAAGCACAACCGCAAAACCTTTGCCTGAGCAGCCCTTCTTATATTTGCCTCCCATGCAGTCCCAAGGTCCCCCAAAATGAATCAGAGATTTTGCACATCCGAACAGTCTGGTTGCAACAGCTGCCCCGTGTATAAGCACTGGAAAACTACAAGTTTTCCCACCAAAAACCCACTACAGAAACTTTGCAAGCCCACCTTTTAGGTTTTAGCTCTCGCTCTGCAAAATCCAGGTCTATATGGGCAGCACACTGGGATGGCATCCAAGGATCTCATTGGCACTGCCAGCCCCAGCTCATCTCCAGCATGTGAAGTCAGCACAGCCAGCCTGACTGACCACCTACAGGTGAATTATCTCCCAGTTGTCTGCTGTACTCAAGACAGAAAATAAAGGGGGGACAGACATTTCTTTCCCCAGAATCATTTTAGAGGATGTTTGTCATAAATCTCCCAAAGGTAAAAAGCAGAATGAAAGATCTGGAATCCTCCCTTCTGCTGTGCAGTAGATAAGCTGTGATTCAGCACGAAAGTCCTTCTGAGTTTTTCCTAGTTGCCATTACTGCAGTGCCCAAATAACCCATTGTGAAACAAAGTCTCCCCCAGCGAGGTGCAGTGCCAATGCACAAGAAACATCAGGGGGTTTAAAGAGAGAAGAGCAATCCTGGCGCCTGATATTCTGAAAATGCTGTGCAGCCGACCTTTGGAAAGCAATTCCAAAATCCCTCTCATCAAAACAGAGGCTCCTAAAATCACTTCTCATATTTTATAACGTTGGTCAGATCTCTGCCCTGACAGTTTAGCACTGGAATTCAAGTTTATGATCCGTTCTTCACAGCCTTTACTTGCTGCAATTTATTGCATGTTAAGGGCCAGGAAATTGCAGAGAGCACGCACAGAATTCTCTTCCTACTTATATCGCATGTGGCTTGCCTTGTTTAGCTTTGATTTTTTCTATTTTAGCTTTTATTGTGTGCTCCACACAATTAGTGCCTTGTGTTTCTACAGCATCTCCCAGGTGAAGGACTCAGCAGTGTAGAAAGGTAAATGCAGCTGAAGAACACAACCAAGTCTGGCAGAACCCCCCACTCTATGACTGTTTTGACAATTTAAAGTTGTTTTTTAAGGTGCTGAGTGGTGCCTTTCTGCTCCTGCAAGAAGTCTGTGTTCCTCTGCAAACTGCTGCCAGTCTGGTGCAGGACCAGACTTGTTTATCCCTGCAGTTCCCCTGGCAGGCACTGAGTATGTGACTCTGAGCTCTCTGCCCTTTCAACAGCACAGAGCCAGTGCCTGCACGTACCCACTTCCTTGGGAAGCTCTGGAAAAGGGCAAAGCTGAAAAATGCACTGCTCTGCAGCCAGCCCTGATGCAGCTCTTCCTCCCCTGCAAGTCCTGAGGGCTTTACTAGCATGCTACTGTCAGTACCAGAAAAAAAAGGAAATTCTCCTGAAGGTGTTTGGGACCCAGATGACAATTATTTTCTGTGCACAGATCTGCCATGTGACCAGATTTTCCTGGATAGTTCTTGTTTTCCTCATACAAATCATGCATAGCAGAATTAGAAGACTTTTTTGCTGAAAAGGTGGAATTTTTAAAGGGAAGTAAAGATAAGCAACTGCTTGTCTACAATTCCTGGCCATCCAGCAGCCAGCTTGAGAGTAGCAGTTGCTGGGCTTTTGGCATTCCTGGTTTTGTCACATATATTAGGATCAGCTACACAACAGACACGTGGCCCTGAAGATCTGAGCCTGCTCTGTGCTTCTACAACAACCCCAGTGTCTGAGATTACCCTGTGTGTGCAGATCAACTGCACAGAACACACGCACAGGATGCTTCCGGCAAGTGCTGCATTCGTTGTGCCAATAGACAGATTTTTGCAAGGAAATATTTACCTCCACTTGGCTTTTAGCAAGTCTTCCTGTACCTCAGCTTGTCAGAGGGATGCTGTCATCAATCCACAAATCCTGCAAACACCCAGGACAGATAAAATTTCAGTTGAATCAAAAAGGTCACCCAAGAGCAGCACAATAACACAATCAACTCAATCACACGGGGTATTTGTCAGATCTTGTTCCTGTGTGCTCTTCTCAAATCTGACTCTCTTTAGATTCTGACTGAGCCGTCACACTTCTGCCTGTGCCCCCGGTACTCAGACATATGTTCAGCTTTGGTTAAATTTGACTTCTTGTAGTGTTATGCAACTGAGCTTTACTCAGTGTTATCTTTTGATTGACTCCTCCACTATTCCACTCCCAACGGATTTATCTGAGGCCAATGACAGCCAGCAAATACTTACTAGAACTCTTGTCTTTGGCAGCACATGCTGGCAGTGAGTGTTTTCAGGCAGTTTGAGAAGTGGGTGTCACTTACATTAGCTCACTCTAAAATCTTGACTCACCCTTCACGCACATAATCCCTCCTGCAAATTCTAGGCCATGGATTTTAATAGAGTTTCCAAAGTAGGTGTGAGGGCCGCTGACTGTGCTAATTTAGTTCCTATTGATTTATCTTGTCTCCTTTCATGGCAGCAAATTGTAAATGCTTCCTTTGCTTCACTTGGTGTTTGCTCCCTGTGTGACAAGTCTCTAGCATTGATGGAATGTGTTAGTGAAAAGTGCCTTGATGTCTGTTTTCAATATCACAGAGACAGAGCCATCATCCAGTGACAGTCCCACTTTGGGAGAGCTGTCTTGTTCAGCCTCTACCTATTTACCCAGAGAGGGAAGCTGAGCCCTGTGATGTGAAGGCTCCATAGTAAGACACAAATAAAACTCCAGAAGACATTAAATAAACCTGTCTTTAGCACTGGAGATCAGACTTGCTGTCAGTGCAGGGCAAAGAAGTGGGAGTCCACGGTATAGCAATACAATAGAGGAAAACTGAAGCTTCATTAGTGTGAGCAAAGGCAGCTCCATCCAGCCTTTTGGATGCAGGTTTAATTAGGGCTTGATCCAATCCCGAGCTCTGAGAAAGGCCTGTGTTCCAGCTGCTTTCAGTTCTCTTGATTTGAGTACTAATCACATATTTTTGCAAAAATAGTATGAAGCATTCGCTGTAGGAAAAAGGACATTTAGATGGAGCCTACAAAGACCATAAATTTTCTCTTTGGTTATAATTATGTATTACATTAATGTTGTTTTTAAATGAACAAAACAAGTGACTTAATCTTTATAATTACACATTTGAAAAAGGAATTGTTACAGATGCCTTTTGCAGTGTTTCCCCTGCCTCCTTCACTGGGAATCCCAGCCTGTGCCTCTAAAGGAGATATGCTGGGACTGGCATTTGCCAACTCAAATCCACAAACTTCTGGCTGTGCCAGTTTGTGAATTACAGACCTACTGTCTGCAAATGACTGGTTTTCAAAGCAAAGGCAGCCATCATTTCAAAGGCTGAGAAAGAAATCTATCATAAATCAGTATATGTGGATTTTATTTATAAAGAGCTAATTAAATTTTGTTCTGTAATTCCAATATGCTGTTTACACACACAGTGTATATTTTTTCTTCCTCTTTTTGGCCATGAACACAAGCAATATACCTTATAATTCTCTTCCTCCATAATATGCCTGGTTTTTATGCTGGTAAAGTAACATCTTAGCCTATTGTAGCTTGTTACAGTGCACTATAGAATTTTTATAGTATGTTACAGTCTGGTTTGGAGAGCATCCAACCAAGCAATCTGCTTCCTTTTAAAAAATAACATAAAATACTGCATTTTTCATAATGTGTATAAAGCCATGCAGAAATCCAAGCACGGAAAATAAACAGAGCATTGCCAACACCAAGCACTTAGCAGTCCTGTCCTAGGCCACAAAATCACAAGTTTTCCTTACAAATCTTGAGATTTCAAAGAAATATAATTTTGGGTTTCCTCTATTTGCCCTTCTTCCTTTTAAAACTTTTGGGTTGTTTTTAAGCTATTCTGTATGGTCACAAAAGTTGTCAATTTACCTTCAGCCTTAAAGAATGCTGAAATTATCATGTAATTACAGGATATGAAGAACCAGAGCTTTGAAAAACAACTGTAGCAAAATCTAAAACTGCAAAAGCTGGTGCCACTGCAGGCTGAAATCCACTACCTGGCACAGAACTGACATATCCTCATCCATTTTAACCCTCTCTGGGATACTCAGAGAAGTAAGCAGGAGCTAAGACTTCCCTAAATACATGCAGTAGTTGCTTGTCTCTACTTCCCTTTGAAAATTCCAAATTTTCAGCTTACTATTTGAAAGGTTTTCTGCTACCAAACCAAACAGGATTCCAGGCTGGAAAGGGTATTTCAAAATAACATGAAATATTTAGTTCAACCTAAAATATAATTTCCTTTAGCAGAGTTTTGAATACTTTTTTTCCCCAGGAAACACTGAAAAGATGGCATTATTCATCAATCCACAGCAGGCACTGTTTCCCTCCAGTTGTTCTGCATAACTCTTAGGAAGCTGCTGTTCTCACTGCTCTTGTGCTGGTTTAGCTTCCATGGAGAGACATCCATGCCCTTCCTTAAGGACAGACAAGCCTGAGTGCCTGACTAAACCCACATATGGCTGGGGCTCACCCAGGGATCAGAGCTGCACAAGGGCTTCTGCTGCTGTCGTGGTTTTATGCACAAGAGTCACACAAGAGCTCCCACACAGGACATTTGTTACTTACTGTGTCTGTTTAAGGGTAAAAGCACCATACCCTGTTCAGTGGCTACTCTGTGGAACTATGGCCTGGGAAGGGCTGGGCTGCATTCTCATCCTCCATCTGCACCCAGATCCTTAAAGTTGGCAAGATGAACCTGCTTGGACTTCCCTGGTAAAACAAAAGCACTTCACTGTAGTCAGCAGGGCCAGACAAACAAGCATTAAATGGCAGGTCATCTGTCTTCTGCAGCCCAACCTCAGGCAGGACTCAAAGGCCTTGCAGTAACACCCACAGGTGCCAAGTACCTCTCCTTGGCTCTGCCCTGTGCCTGGAGTCAGCACCAAATCCCAGGCAGAGCAGGGCTCACTGCTCACTACCCCAGGCTGTCCTGATTCCTGAGACACTCATGGATCTGCTCAGGAGTGGCCTGGGTGAGCCTTCACCAAAGCATCCAAAACCCAGCTGCAGACTGGGGAGCTGGGAATCAATTCTACCGTCCACGGCCAAAAGCTCAAGGCCCAGTCATGTCCATGATGTGCACAAGGAGCCCTTCCTTAGCCCCAGAGCTCAGACAGGAGTGCCTGGCTCCATGCATGGATCCATTTACAGATGATTTGTTCTGGAGTACATTAATTAGAGGGCATCTTCCACTGCGGCACTGCTTGCCAATAGAAGGATTGTGAGCAGCAGATCTATTCTCAGTGTTGACATGTAAGGGTAGCATCACTTCAGCAGTGATAGGGAGGTGTTGAAGGGATAAAGCCCACCCTCCCAGTAGCTCCAGCTCTGGAATCACAGCAGGCCATGAGCCAGCCTCTGATTTGCTCTGTTCCACAGTCCCAGCATTAACACTGAGCAAGTGCCTGTGGGACTGCAAAAACCTCACTCTGTACTTGGCAGGTTCATAGGTAAAAGGCAAAGCTTATGGGAAAGCTAATGAACAAAAAGCAAATGGGGAAAGATACAGGCTCAGATCCATTTTAGATGCCCTACTGACAAATCCTCTGGAGTTTGTAGGATACACATGGAACTGCAAACTCAGGGCCTCGATGCTGCTGTGGAGTGGCTCACACTGACCTCCCTGAGATCAGACAGGGGATGCAGGGAAATCAGGCATGCTCTGTCACCCTCTCCATCAAAGTACACCGTGTGAGCCAGACAGCTTCACCTTAGTGACACAGAGGCTGGGCTGGAGCATAGCAGCATTAATGCTCCCATGTCCACAACCATCACAAGAGACTCCCTTGGTCCCATAGGACACTGTGCCCTGTTCCCATCAGCTGACAAAGACCTTTTGCTCAAAGATAAAAAAACCAAATAAAAAGTAGCATGGTTCTCTGTGAAATTCCATTGTACCTAAAATGTCCCCTCACGTCTACCTCAGGCCACAGTGTGAGTCAGTTTGACACATACAAGGACTGTTTCGCAAGGCAGTGTTATGTGTGCCCAGATGTGATCAATCACACAGAGCAAATAACCCTCTCCAACAACTACACAGTTCCAGCAAGGGCAAATGTCACTCCTGTGCCAGTAGCAAGTCCACAAGCCTTCACACCCACATAGGGCAGGGTCCTCAGTGATCACAGGACTTGTGAGAAAAGGGCCTCATGAACATCATCCTAATGCCACATCCCTCAGTGGTGAGGGTACTATGCAAGAATGATTCCCTCAGTGGTGAGGGTACTATGCAAGAATGATGTATGTCCTGAAAAATGAACCAAATTCTGCCTAACTTTTAAGCCAAACTTTTAAGTCCTCAGTGATCACAGGACTTGTGAGAAAAGGGCCTCATGAATATCATCCTAATGCCACATCCCTCAGTGGTGAGGGTACTATGCAAGAATGATTTATGTCCTGAAAAATGAACCAAATTCTGCCTAACTTTTAAGCCAAAGCAGCTCCCATATCCAGGATGAGCTTTGAGGCTCCAGGAGTTGTCCTAATATCTGCCTGTGCTCACAGGGCACTCCCAAAGTCACGGCATTAATTTGTACACGGTCACTAAATAGCATGAGAAGGTTGTGGGTCTGCTGGCACAGCCTGAGCTCTCATATAGGATGGAGAGTAGATAAGAGAACAGACTGAGGTCAATATGAAGTAAAGAACTGTTCAGGAATGTCTTGCTGAAATAGCCCCTGAACTCTGCAAAGACTTTGCAAGCAACACTATGAACAGCTTTCTATTAGGTTTTGGCCCTCAGCTTATAAGGGCAAACCCACAATTAAAACAGGCTGCATAACCAGGGAAAATAGCAGCACAGAGTGCCACAAATCTCTTGAGAGGAGAAATTCTTCATCCAGTGACCAGGCAAACACTCAGTACAGATGTAATGGCAGAGGTTTCTGCAGCCTTTTCTACGAGTTTTCCCCCTGGGTGTCCCAGCATAGGAGGGCAGCTCTCCATGGGAGCAGTCACAGGGCAGGCTGGGCAAAGCCTCAGATCTGCCTGGGGACAGGCAGGGAGGTGCCTTCCAGATCAACACTTGTTCTACCAACTCCTCCTGTGCTCCATGAGCCATGTCCAGGTCCCCACCAAGGGTGCGTGTCTTTAGGCCAGGGCTCAGCTCTGAATGGGGTGGGTGAGACAAGATGTTCAACTTGTATCCTCATAACCTCTGCTCTAAACAAAGGGGCAAAGCCATTAAGTAAGACAAAAGCAAATAAAAAATCTGGATGGTGAAAGAGCCCATGTGTGTGGAAAACACGGTATTGACCCAATAGGGCAAGGAGCAAAAATTGCAGCTAAGAATCACAGCTTAGGACAGCATGGATTGTTGTGAACCATAGCAACATATTTAGACTCCTGTGTCACAAAATCTCCTTTTCTCAAGGCAGTACTCAGCAATCTGGGCAGCAGGTTGTCCAGTGGCACTGGGTGTGAGGATGGCAGGAGTAAATCCTCCCTGTGGAGGAGCAAAATGCTCCAGGAGTACTTACCCATGGCACAAAGTGAGCTACAGCACTCTCCACAAAGAGCTGTCTTGCTAATTGAGCAAGCCAAGGCTTTTCTGGAAGGAAAACAAATGTATCTGCGGACAGGCTAAAACAATAAAGGAAAATTGAAAAGGCTGAACAAAGGGACTGGAAAGTCAGTGACATAAGTTAAAATCTCAGTAGCAGCTGCCTGCAAGTGGGCAGTGGGAGCTGTGCACCAACCAGGACTCGCTGCCTTCTTCTCACCTGCCCTGCCAGGGAAAGAGGAGGCACAACACGAGGCCCCAGAAATCCAAAAGATGTTTCACAAAGCACTAAATTATCAAAGCAATAATCTGCATCTAGTATTCAAAAAAAGGAGAAGTTCTGAAGTCTCCTTGGGGAGGAGCCAAACGCCAGGGAAAGACGGAGCTGTTGGGGCCTGAGCCGGAAGGGGACACATGGAGGG